TATATATATATATATATATATATGGTTAGGCATTTAGTTAGTTTTTATTAAAATTTTGAGCTAAATGTGACAGATAAATGTCATAAATCAGTTATATATATATTTTTTATTTTCTTATTTAGGCAATGCTGGACAAGGGTTTACACCACATGTTATTACAGTTTCAGCTGGAGAGGTTTGTCCTATGCGAATTTTTGATATTTATGATCTTCTACTTAGATTTTCATTCATTTCAGAAATCTTTTTTTTATTGAGCCGAAAAAGACAAATATATCAGTAAATATTTTTTTTAATATTATGATATTCAGTGTTTTTTAAAATTTTCATGTGTTTTTATGGTTTTGTTTTTAAGGCTCCAATGAATTATGAAACCTTAGATTTGAGACGTGATTAGCATTACATAGTAATTGATTAAGTTCAATCATAACGTTGTATAATGCCTTTTGCTTCTACAGTGGGGGCAACTTTTGTCTTGTTTGAGGCTTTATCATGTAATAGAGCATCTACAAAAATGTCCTAACGTTCCTCATTCTTATCAATTTTAGATGGTCCATATTTTCTTGAAATACATTGTTATTTACTCCAATTGTTTGTGCAAACACTGCCCTCGAGTTTTCTTCAGTGAATGAGGCAAATTGCAGTGAGATGCTGAAAGGAAAAACATAGTGCCTATAGCTTAAAGCTTGTGGAGAGGATACAAGGGGAGGTAGAGCAAGATCGGTTAAACGAGGGGAAGATAGGAGAGGTAGAGGGAGAGATTTAGTAAATGAGAAGTGCTGGTCAGAGATAGCGAATTAAGAGTAAGATTATGGAAGAATGCTTAATTCTTTAATGCTAATAGCATAAGTTTGTTGCAATCTAAAATGCCCTGTTTAATTGTATGGTTTTTTGTAAAAAGGGTCTATAAGAGTGGAATCCACACCATCCAAATCATCAAGTAACATCAGATGAACTATGCTGTTATTTGTTTGGTTTAGTAATATTTTCTGTTTTGTTCTGGTGTTATCCCAAGAATAACTTGTCATACTCCTTATCAACTCAACCAGGCTGTGAAGAACTCTCCTCTATGCAGTTGAGTGTGTGTGCTCTTTTGAAGATATGGAATGAAGTGTTGCAATTCTCCATGGTGTCACAAGAGTAGGATTCTTTCACTTCTGAGAAACTCTAACAATTTTAGTTCCGTTTTTTGATTTTTGCATTAGAAATTTATAACCCTTTCAACCTTTTTAATCACGAACACTACAAACTAGGTTTAGCAGTTTGTTAATTTAAAACTTCATCTATTAGAAAATTAAGAAGTTTCCTTGTGGGGTCGATACGGAGATTTTAAGTCTGTATATTATTTGGGCGACACATATACTTATGTGATTTTCCATTGCTTTGCAACAGTTATAGACATCAAATTTTTGACATCGTTGTCGGAAAATGAGTCAAAGTTTTTCATTTGATAATTTTAATTGAAACACTTTGAGTTTAGGTTTTGATTTATTTCTATTTTTCTTATTTTTTTGTGCTCTTGCTATAATGTTGTTTTGTTCCTTATTTTTGAGAAATTAAAAAATAAAAAAAAAAATTATTCCATCTTTTTATCTATGTTCTTGTGCTTTTTCATGTTTAGTTATTTTCAATTAACGTGTTTTCTTTGTGTATGTTTTCCTTGTTTTTTATTTTTTGTTAGAGTAGAGTCACTTGTGGGGAAGTTGCATGCATAGGATTGGATTTGACTTCATGTCATTCCACCGTGGCATTAATCGTAAAAGAAAATTCGAAAAATTCAAAATCAAAGAAATGACAAATCCTCAAAAAGACCATTTGAAACCTCTAGAGAGTATGCCAACATACCAGTATAGGAAATCTATGTGTGTATCGGTTATTTTGCTATAGAAGCCAATACATTTGAACTGAGACATGTGATTATCCAAATTGAAGCCAAAGTGATAGCTATTTTGCTGTAGAAGCCAAATCATTAACTGAGGTCTAAACATGCACCTGAGACATTTCTTTGAACTGTCACTTTCAGATGTAATGGTGTCTCTAATGACGTTGTCAGAATAAGACTATACCGATTCTCACTTAAGGATAAAATCAAGCTGTGGCTAATCTCCTTAGCAACAAAAGCAATCACCACTTAGACTAAATTAGCTTAAAAATTCATGACCAAAATAGTTCCCTCCATCTAAAATGACCAAACTTAGGAATGATATCACTTCTTTTACCTAGCTATATGGAGAGTCGATTTACAAAACTTTAGAGATGTTCAAAGAAATACTTATTAAGTGCCCACACCATACTCTACCTAACTGACTGATCAGAGAAACCTTTTACAATGGGTTGATGGGATTCCAAGGTCGATGATGTCAAAACCATTTGACGAGGTATATGAACTGATTAAGGAAATATCAACTAATAATTTCTAATAGCATTCTGAGTGAGGTACACTTAAGAAGGTAACTATCATGCACAAAATTGATGTTTTGACTATCCTCGCCTTTGTAAAAAGTTAGATACTTTAATATTAATTCAGTATCAGGATCCTTACCAACCGATGGGATGACATTGACTAGTAGGAGATCCTAGCTTTGCTGCTTTGAAACCCTTGAATATCATAGGAAACTAGTTTAACAATCCTTATCCAATATCTATGATGCAGACTGAAAAAAGTACCCAAATTTAAATTGGAGCAATTACAACTTAGGGACAAGAAACTAGTAGCGGGAAAGCACTCAATCCAACCCTATAAGAAATTGGAACCACCAAGGCAGTAGTTACCTTAGATAGATTATCCACCACGATTCACCTCTAATTCTTAGTTTAAGGGGAAGAGACCATCTTTTGAGGAAAGTGTGTTACAGATGGAAAACCACCTAAAAAGCCATTTTGTAACCATAAAGAACACGAAGAATTTATGGAGAATGAAATTGGATAGCTGGCTAATTCATTGAGTAATAGTCCCTAATGGACACTCCTTAAACTTGTAGAGCTAAATCCTGAGTTTGAAAGATTGGGTGAAGAACCTTCCCTAGATTTAAGAAAACCCTCATCTCCTAGGATAGTGCAAGAGAGACCGCCGCCACCTTTTTTTCTAAAGGCTTCAGAGATAAAAATTAGACCAACAGTTTGTCAGGTTTTTGGGGGGTTTTAAGAATCACAATCAACATTTTATATGCTAAAATCCTTGAACGGATGCTCAGTTGTGTAGTTTGAAAGAGATCCTTGACAAGAAAAGAAAACTCAGAGATTCTGAAACTATTGCATTAACTAAAGAATATAGCATGATCTTATAGAAGAAATTATCATAAAAATTTAAGGATCCAAGGAGCTTTACCATTTTGTGTGCCATAGAAAAAATATTTTTTGGGAAAGCTCTTTCTGACTTAGGAGGTAATATCGGCCTCATGCCTCTATCTATTTTCAATAAACTAGGATTTGGGAAGGTCCAACGCACCAAAGTGACCCTATTGTTATTTGACTGATCTTTGACCCATTCTAGGGGGTGATAGATGATGTGTTGGTGAAGGTTGATAATTTTATCTTCCATATTGATTTTATTGTTGTAGACATGGAGAAAGATAAGGAGATTCATTATATTTGGCAGACCCTTTTTAGACACCAGAAAAACTATAATTGATGTGTAAAAGGGTGAACTGATCATGATAGTTAATGATTAGGAGGTGACTTTTAATGTTATGAAATTAATAAAATAGATACAATAATCTGGCGATAACCAATGTCATATAGTAGATGTGGTTAGCAGGGGTTGTTGATAGCCTATTTTAGAATTTATGGAGGTAAACCTAGTAGAGGAAGTAATCGTTGAGGATTGTAGCAAGAATGCTAAGGAAGATCCCCTCTACTTTTAGAGACAAACCTTAATGTTGTTAGGGATACGGTTGAGCTTGTGGACATGACTGCCAATACCAAGCCTTTAGTATCGTTCATGAAAGAATCCTCCAAGTTAGATGTGAAAAGTCTCCCGATGCACCTCAAGTATGCATCATTAAAAGAACCTTTTGCTTGGCCTCTCATTATTTATGCTGGGTCGAATGAATTACAAAAGGGGAAGCTGATGAGTGCCTTGGATTAAGAAGTATTTTTTATGTTTGATAGTCCGAGTAGACCCTCGACATATTCTTTGCAAGATTATTGCCGATGTAAGATGGGGAGATCATAGAAATTATGAATAAGGGTGTGATAATGAACACATGCTTTCAGGAAGATTTGAGGCGTGACAGAGATTTGATGACTAGGTAATCCTCCAGGATAGTTAAATTTTAGGAAAATTAATCAAAGATCATGGAAAATGCTATTTGATCTTGGAGAAGAAACATAGGATTGATTTAATTTGGTCGCGTTTTGAGAACCTTAAACTAAAGGCTACTTGAGAGACAACCCAAACATTTTCTTTTACTTTGATTCATGTTTGATTGTGATTTATTTTGGTTTTTGCTTTGAATTTGCTTTGAATTTGTTTTGTGTGCTTTTCATTTGATATGTGTTGTTTTAGGTTATTTAAAGGTCTTACCAATTTTGAATTTAAGCGCATGTGTATTGAAACTATGTTATGAACTCTTTTGATCTCCCTATGATTTGCCCATATTTGAGATATTCTAGGTTTCATGTGTGATGTTTTGCTGGAATTACAGATGTGAATGTTTACCATTTCTATTGATTTGACATACTTGTAATTTTCAATTTCATGTTATTGCATGCTACCATCTATTCGTTCTTGCAATCTTTTAGGTGACATTTATATAATAGAAAATTTAATTGAAAGAGGGAGTGATACATGTATACTGGCCTGAAAGTAATTTACATACCTGACTTGTAGATTTAACTTTAGAGTATTGACTAATGATATGATTCCTGATGATTTGATAATGATATATAATAATTTCTTAAGAAGTGTTAATGTTATAATTGATTTCCTAATGATTATGTCATTCACCTTAGTTACTTCTCTACATGATTCCTAAAATGTAGCAGAATAAATAAAAATCTGTATTTGAAAATATTAGTTAACTTGAGATTATTAAGTTTTTAAATCCTTAGCTCAAACAATTTATGTGAACTATAATTTTTAAATGGATTATAATATTGAGGGATTCATACTAAGTAACTGAGAATTGTCAATTAGGGGAGATTAGATATTTAAGATTATTAAAATACATGCTTAAC